CAGTGCATATTAAAGTTATGTTTACACTATACCGTAGTCTATTAAGTGTGCAATAGCATTATGTCCAAAAAAATCAACGTATCTTAATTTAAAAATACTTTATTGCTAAAAAATGCTAACAATCATGTAAGGCTCCAGCAAGTAGTAATCTTTTCACTGGTGGGGTCTTGTCTTGATGATGATGGTGCTGACTCATCAAGGTAGGTAGTGGTTGCTGAAGGCAGAAGTGGCTGTGGCAATTTCCTAAAATAAGACAACAATGAAGTTTGCCACATCGATAGACTCTTCCTTTCACAAAAAATTTCTTTGTAGCATGAGATGCTGTTTGACAGCATTTTACTCACAACTGAACTTTTCAAAACTGGAGTCAATCTTCTCAAACCAAGTCACTGCCTTAGCAACTGAGTTTATATAAAATACTCTAAATTTTTTGTTGTTATTTCAACAATGTTTATAGCATCATAACCAGGAGTAGATTTCATCCAAGAAACCACATTCTTTTCTCATCTTTAAGAAGCAACTTATCATCTGTTTTATCATGAGATTGCACCAATTCAGTTGCATATTCAGGCTCCACTTCTAATTTTAGTTCTCTAGCTATTTGTACCACATCTGCAGTGACTTCCTCCACTAAAGTCTTGAACTCCTGAAAGTCATCCATAAGGGTTGGAATCAACTTATTCTAAACTCCTGTTAATGTTGATATTTTTGTTTTTTTAATTTTTTTTTGGTTTGTTTTAGTTTTTTTTTTCTTGCTCTGTCACCCAGGCTGGAGTACAACGGTACAATCTTGGCTCACTGCAAACTCTGACTCCAGGGTTCAAGCGATTATCCTGCCTTAGCCTCCTGAGTAGCTGAGATTACAGATGCCCACTACCATGACTGGCTAATTTTTGTATTTCTAGTAGAGATAGGGTTTCACCATGTTGGTCAGGCTAGTCTTGAACTCCTGACCTCAAGCAATCCACCCACCTCAGTCTCCCAAAGTGCTGGGATTACAGGCATGAGCCACTGTGCTGGGACTTTTTTTGTTGTTGTTTTTTTGAGACAGAGTCTCACTCTGTCAGCCAGGCTGAAGTGCAGTGGCACGATCTTGGCTCACTGCAACCTCCACCTCCTGTGTTCAAGCAGTTCTCCTGCCTCAGTCTCCTGTGTAGCTGGGATTACAGATTCCCCCCACGACATAGCTAATTTTTGTATTTGTGGTAGAGACGGGGTTTCATCATGTTGGCCAGGCTGGTCTTGAACTCCTGATCTCAAGTGATCTGCCCGCCTCAGCCTCCCAAAGTGCTGGGATTACAGGCATCAGCTACTGTGCCCAGCCAATGTTGGTAGAGACACAGTCTAACTATGTTGCCTGGGCTGATCTCAAACCTCTAGCCTCTAGCAATCCTTCTGCCTTGGTCTCCCAAAGTGTTGAGATTACACGTGTGAGCCACTATGCCTGGCTATATTCCTTAAATAATAAGACTTGAAAGTCAAAATTATTCCTTGATCCACATGCTGCAGAAAGGATGTGTTTGTAGGCACTAAAACATTAATTTCCTTGTACATGTTCATCAGAGCTACTGGGTGAGTAGGTGGACTGTGAATAAGCAGTAACATTTTGAAAGGAATCTTTTTTTTTGAGTGTTAGGTCTCAATAGTGGGCTTAAAATATTCAGTATACTATGCTGTAAATAGATGTGCTGCCGTCCATTGATTGTAAATGAGCACTGGCTTCCACTTAAAGTTACCAGCTGCATTATCCCTTAACAAGACAGTCTGTCCCGTGAAGCCAGGCAGTGAGGTGATTTCTCCTCTCTAGCTATCAAAGATGGTGTCTTCGTCCAGCAGAAAGGTGTTTCATCTACATTGAAAATCTGTTGTTTAGTATAACCACCTTCACTGAAGATAAATGTCTTAGCTAGATCTTCTGGATAACTTGCTGCAGCTTCTCCATCAGTACTTGCTGCTTCACCTTGCACCTTTATGTTATGAAGGTGGCTTCTTTCATTAAACCTCATGAACCAACCTCTGTTAGCTCCAACCTACCAACCTCTGTTAGCTCCAACCTTTTCTTCTGCAGCTTCCTCACCCCTCTCAGCTTTGATAGAATTGAAGAAAGTTAGGACTTTGCTCTGGATTAGGCTTTGGCTTAGAGAAATGTTGCGGCTGGTCTGATCTTCAGCCAGGCCACTAAAACCTCCATATCAGTAACAAGGCTGGTTTGTTTTTTTTTTAAGATGGAGTCTCACTCTGTTGCCCAGGCTGGAGTGCAGTGGTGCTATCTCAGCTCACTGCAACCTCTGCCTCCCAGGTTCAAGCGATTCTTCTGCCTCAGCCTGCAGAGTAGCTGGGATTACAGGTGCGTGCCACTACACATGGTTAAATTTTGTATTTTTAGTAGAGACAGGTTTTGCCATGTTGGCCAGGTGCGTGCCACCACGCCTGGCCTGGTTGTTTGAGTTTCTTATCATTCATGTGTTCACTTGCAGTAGCACTTTAAATTTTCTTTAAGTACTTTTAATTTTCTTAAGTACTTTTCATTTGCATTCACAATTTGAATAACTTGCACAAGAGGCCTAGCTTTCTACCTGTCTTGGCTTTCGACATGCCTTCCTCACTAAGCTTCACAAGTCTAGTTTTTTAATTTAAAACTCATATGACAGACATGAGACTCTTCCTTTCACTTGAACACTTAGAGGCCCTTATAGGGTTATTAACTGGTCTATTTTCAACATTGTTATGCCTCAGTTAATAGGAGGGCTGAGGAGAGGGGGAGACACGGGTAAATGGCTGGTCAGTGGAGCAGTCAGAACACATGCAACATTTATTAATGAAGCTCACTCACTGTTTTACATGGGTGCAGTTCATGGTACCCCCAAACAATTAGCACAGTAATATCAAAGATCACTGATCATGCATCACCATTATATAAAAATTACATTGTTACTATATTATATATATAATAGTAGTAATTAAAAAGTCTGAACTATTCTGAGAATTACCAAAAACATGACAGAGACAAAAAGTAAGCACACGCTGTTAGACAAATGGCATTGATAGACTTGTTCAACACAGGGTTGCCACAAACCTCCAATCTGTAAAACACCATTTAATGAGCACCTACTATAAAGGATACTACTATCTCACACCATTTCATTTACTTATGACAACAGCCCTTTGATGAAGTTATCATTAGACTCATTTTAGAGGGAAGAAAACTGAAAGCTGAAGATCAGAGCAACTTGCTCAAGGTCATATTGTTAAACAAATGTATCTGCTGGAACTTAATCCTAGTCTACCAACTCCAAAGCATGTGTTCTGTTCCCTACATAGCCTATCCTAAAGTATCATGTGGAAGACAGTATGACGCTGCTGTCAGTAAGCATACCATTCTACCACTGATAAGCAAAAATACGTGTATAACTCTGTGTGTGTGTGTGTGTGTATGTCTATGCGTACACGCACAGGTATATTATGGAGCGGAACAGGCAAACTCTGGCCTCAGTGGTTTCTGTACTCCTATGGTGTTGCTGCATTGTCCCTGGGCTCTTAGCAGCACAGGTGACAAAAACCTGGATAAAACCCATTTCCACACTCTGTGCTCAGCACCCTGTGATTTATGTGGGGCACTGCAGGGGCATGCTCCACCATCCTATCCCCATTTCTCTTATTTATTGAAACTTTGTTGCTGTCTTATCCTCATATCCCATCTGTTAGCTGAATAATAAAAGGTAGGAAATTGATGTCAAAGCAACCATGATGACAAAAACAAAAACAGAAACAGACAAAAAACCCACTGCTCCAGATGGTACTAATTTTAATACTACTTGAGATATTTTCCTTAAAACCAAAGAAAAGATACATGTAAAACAATCTTTAAAAAACATTTTTTTTTGAGATGGAATCTCGGTCTGTTGCCCAGATCACTGGCATAATCTCGGCTCACTGCAACTTCTGCCTTCTGGGTTCAAGTGATTTTCCTGCCTCAGCCTCCCAAGCAGCTGGGATTACAGGCGTCTGTCACCACACCCGGCTAATTTTTTTGTATTTTTAGTAGAGACGGGGTTTCACCGTGTTTGTCAGGTTAGTTTTGAACTCCTGACCTCAAGTGATCCATCTGCCTCAGGCTCCCAAAGTGCTGGGATTACAGGTGTGAGCCACCGCGTCCGGCAACAATCTTTTTTTTAATTTAATTATTTTTATTATTATTATTTTCTATAGAGACGGGGGTCTTGTTATGTTGCCAAGGCTGGTCTTGAACTCCTGACTTCACGTGATCGTCCCACCTCAGTCTCCCAAGTAGCTGGGATTACAGGCACACACTGCCATGTTTGAGTATAAAACAATCCTTTAAGTACATTTCTAATATAGTCTCCCAAATTTTGAATGCTTTTGTACAATCTCAGCTAAAGAGAGCTAGTTGGCAAACTATATTGCATGGTTGGTTCTACCTAATGAACAATAGTGAACTACATTTCAAATGCTCTTTAGCCAGTGGGTCCTCTATCACAATATCCTGAATATTTTATTTTGTAGTCCAGCAGTTTTCACCCACAATGGCTGACAGACATTATATATACAATAACATTAGACTTGGCACAAAGAAATATGGAAAGGTTATCATGCTAGGTATTAAACTTTAAGTCTCACAAGACGCTCAAGGCACTTTCAAATGTAAAGTAATGGGAATACATAAAAATCAGTAGACAGGATGAGTGCGGTGGCTCACACTTGTAATCCCAGCACTTTGGGAGGCCGAGGCGTGCTGATCACTTGATTCTAGGAGTTAGAGACCGGCCTGGGCAACATGGTGAAACCCTGTCTCTATTAAAAAATAAAACACAGAAAAAACAAACAAACAAAAAACCAGTAGACAGTCAGAAATGAGTGGAGGTTATTTGACATTAATGAAGGACAACATTACATCGGAAGCCTAGAGGCCAACAACCTTTTAACTTTTGTCAAAATACTTTATACTACAGATACTTTTTCCTCTTTGGTTAATGACTTACCTTCAAAGGTTGATTTCTTCTTATTATAGCAAGTTCAATGTTTTTTCCACCAGACTGTACAACCTAATGTAGAACAAGTATGCTATTAGAATTATTTCAGCAAATTTTGTGTTTAATAAACAAAAATGGATGAGAAAAAAAATTCATGATTTCCTGAATATGCTTTATTAGATCACTTACTTCTAGCAAAGCTTTTATTGCTAACTTGATAGCTTCATTGTCACTTGCTATGGCATCTTCTGTGTAATTCTTTTCTAGAAATTCTCGAACAGTTTTAGCACTTCGGCCTATTGCATTTGCCTTGAAAAACAAAAGTTAATTTATAAATATCATTGCAGTATGAATGAAGTTATGGTTACTAAATTTAGAGGTTTAGAGTTTACTCCAGTATACCTTAATAAAATTACCAAATGAAAATTATAGATCTGAAAACGTAGCAAACATTTCAGTAGCTCATTTGGTTACTATCAGAATAGTCTGTAATGGTGGCATGGTTTTTATTTTCCTTTTTTTTGTTTGTTTTAGAGATGGGATCTCACTCTGTTGCCCAGGCTGGAGTGCAGTAGTGGCATAATTATAGCTCACTGCAGCTTTGATCTTCTGGGCTTAAGTAATTTTCCTACCTGAACCTCCTGAGCAGCTGGGACTACAGGTATGCGTCACCACATTCAGCTGATTATTTTTTTGGTAGTCTTGCTATGTTGCCCAGGCTGTTCTCAAACTCCTGGTCTCAAGTGAGCCTCCTGTCTCAGCCTCCCAAAGTGTTGGGATTACAGGTGTGAGCCACAATATCTGGCCAACCTTTTCTTTTAAATATACCAATGCTTTGTCCTGGCTAATGCTTTCTATCAGTATAATGTCTCCCAAATCCTTGATAACCAGAAATTATTTTATTTACATATTTTTTGAAACAGGGTCTCACTTTGTGGCCCAGGCTGGAGTACAGTGGTATGATCACTGCTCACTGTAGCCTTGGCCTTCTGGGCTCAAGGTATCTTCCTACCTCAGACTCTCAAGTAGCTGGGACTATTGGTATGTGGCACCACACTTGGCTAATTTAAAAAAGAATTTTTTTTTAGAGACAGAGTCTCGCTATGTTGCCCAGGCTGGTCTCAAACTCCTGGACTCATGTGATCTTCCCAGTTTGGCCTCCCAAAGTGCTGGGATTACAGGCATGAGCCACTGTGCCTGGCTCAGAAAGGATTTTAAAAAGTAGAAACTTGAAAAGATGTGGAGAGGCAAGGAGCTATAACTTTACAACATGGTACAAAAAGAAGAAAGCAAAGAGAGGGGAAAAAACGACATCAACACGAAGAAAGCTTTTTCCCTAAGTTGGGCTGAGCATCATTTTTGTAGATTTTAAAGTATAGTGGTAACCTAATTGATTCATTATCTTCTTTGACTCTTAAGCAAGAAGGGCGTCTATTCTATTCCTCTTTTCTTTGGTCTTTACACATTTTCATCAGATGAAGGAAAAATGCAAATGGATTTTCCTGGCTGCATGGCCATAGGTAGAAGGCTGCATATTGTTTTAATTCAGCCTAAATATCCAGATTAGTACTCGTGATGATAATAATGATGATAATAAGATTTTAAATTTTATATTAACAGAACACTCATGTGTCAGGCACTTTACATGGATTATCTCATTTAACCATCACGAAAATGATTAAATAGGTACTGTTACTAACCCCAATTCTTGGATGTAGAAATGGAGGCTTGGAAAGGTTAAAATATGGTTTCTCAATATCAGCACTGTTCACATTTTGGGCCAGTTAATTCTCTGTTGTGAGGGCTGTCCTGTGTACTGTGGGATTTTTAGCTGGCTTCACAAACTAAATGCCAGCAGCAACTCCCACCCCAGTTGTGACAACCAAACATATCTCTTGTCAAAGACATTGTCAAATGTCTCTTAGGTGGGACAAAATCAGCTGTTTGTGAATTACTGACTCAAGTAATCTTGACTAAGATCATACAGAGAGTAAGCAGAAGAGCTAAGCTTTGAAACTGTGGTCTGAATCAACAAGCCAAGCTTTTAACTTGATACACTATGCTGCCACATGCCCCTTTCCTAGGATGATTACAGAGTAAAAGGAATAAACAGAAAGGCCTATCCTTTCACTGGCATTAAATGGGGGAATGTCTCAGTTATAACTGTTTATTATTATTATTATTATTATTATTATTTTCTTTTTTTGAGACAGAGTCTCGCTCTGTCACCCAGGCCGGAGTGCAATGGTGTGATCTTGGTTCACTGCAACCTCTGCCTCCTGGGCTCAGGCAATTCTCCTGCCTCAGCCTCCCAAGTAGCTGGGATTATAGGTGTCTGCCACCATGCCTGGCTAATTTTTTAATTTTTAGTAGAGATGGGGTTTCACCATGTTGGCCAGGCTGGTCTCGAACTCCCGACTTCAGGTGATCTGCCTGCCTCGGCCTCCCAAAGTGCTGAGATTACAGGTGAGCCACCATGCCTGGCCAACTGTTTAGTATTATGATTATGGGAAAGAGATCTCAAAGGAGATTTTAGGACATAAATATGAAAACACACCATTTATATTACATTATATAACAATATACTATTCTGGTTAGCAAAAGATTCTTTTTACTTCATATAACTTTTTCTATGCCATTATATTTCAGAGGATTAATATAAGTAGTTGTTGAAACTTCTAAATTAAATTTTGTGGCCTTGAAATTTCACCAAGATCAAAGGTAAAGCCTTCAGCCTGGCGTGACTTTGAAGTCTATTTGCTGCTAGGTTTTTTTGTTTGTTTGTTTGTTTTTTGATAACTAGTTACTACCCAGAGAGGAAGTACACAGTTAGTGGCTTCAGGTAGTGGTTTATCCAAAACTTCATTGGGCCTTTAAGGTTACCCTGCACATTTCTGGTGACTTTCCTATCCACTTTTTCCAATTCTTAATGTCAAAATTTTTAACTCTTACCCACCCGACTTGTTTTCTAAAATCTAGCCTGTTCTTGCCACACTCAGATCCCCACCCTCCCTTGCCCCATCACCCACCCCAATCCACTTCAATAATGACTCTGGTAGTTTTGCAATGCTTTTCCTACCTGCCTTCTCAGATTAATGATGATTTTCTACAGCAAAGACTATTAGCTGACAACCCTAATATCCATTCTTCCTTTGTGACAGAACTCTAGGCAATGTGACTGCTGAAAAATGTCACTTCCTAGCTTCTCTTACAAATAGGTATACACAAGTGGAAGTCACTGGGTGAAGCTCCTAGGAACCTTTGCTTCCTAGAATGCAGACATATTGGCTAGAGCTCTAGCAGCCATCTTGAGAGCATGGAAAAAGACTAAGACTAAAAGAGACAAATACCAGCATCTGCCTACTTTCAGACTTCTCATTATGTGAGAAAAATCAATCCTGTGTGTTAAGAATCATCAGGTCTTTGTTGTTAGGAGACAAAAACAACCTCACTGACAGATCTCGGAAGTGCATCCTGTGACATACTGCCCCATACACCTCCAGAAACAAAAACCTTATTCCTGTGGCTACTGGAAGTGGTAATGGCAGACAGCCCTTAGCTCTTACCTCTCTTGGGAAGGTTCCCTGGTTAACAAGAGCTCCCTCAGGGAAGGTCATGTGCTCTTCCAGGGCCAGCCTACACTGACTGAGTGATGAAGAGTATCAATGTGCAGTCCCTTTACCCCAACTTAGAACAGCTCTGATGAGCCACTACAGATCCAGAGCACTCCACGGTGTCAACTGAAGCCTTTACTGCGACTACAATGCAGTCCAATGTCTCCCTCTGCCCAATCCTGATCCCTTCCCTTCAACAAATGCTTATAAAAATGGCACTTCCTAATATATATCCTAAAAGATAATAATCTTCCCATGAGGCTATGTGACCCTAAGGAAGGACAAGGTCTCTGATGACAAGTGCAAATCAGCTTTTCTCATCTGAAGGCTTGCTAACTTCCAGAGTAAATCTTCAGTGCGCTCTCCCACATTAAGAAAAAGAGATGGGGAAATGAACAAAAAACTCTACTCACAATAAATAAATCACAATTTCCATTATTTTTGAAATATAAACAGAAGGCAAAACTGGTCAAGTGTTGTCAGAAACAATGAATTGGAGGAATATATTAAACAGTCTTTAAAGTCTTTTCAACCCTGAGGTTCTAAGTTTTTATGGCAGCATTTTCCAAAGTGAATCCCACAAAACATCAGAGTAGAGAAAGGATCTATGATCACAGGGCTCTACATTCAAGTAATCTTGGGGACTACTATTTTACCTGCTTCTAGAATATTTAAATGCTTTTTAGCAGATCCAGATGTACTTTGGTAACAAAACTTACTAAATTTCTTTAAATAGCTAAAAAAATTACTTAGCTAGAGAGCTTGTTTACCTAATACCTGTTGACATTAAAAGAAACGCACTTTGAGAAACACTGCTTCGAAGTATACAACATAGTTAACGTTCTTACCATTTTGAAACATTATGGCCCATACTGACAAGAGCAAAACATGCCCCTTAATCATTAACATCATTAATCAGGGTGGGGCTTAAGTCTGTGCATGTGGGTCTCCTTAAAATAGTATAGAATAGCTTTTAAATTAAGTAACCACTTCAATGCACAGCGTATTAGATGCCAGTTTTCATCAATGTTCTTTAAGAGCTAATTTTATTTAAACATTTAAAAAATGCAAGCTTTTCAAGAAATACATAGTAAACTGAAACAAAGTTTTAAATATAAAATTTGAGTGCTAATGGCCAGACTGGCATTCCTACAAATCTACAAGCTATATTGTAAGTGAAAGGAAGAATATTTTT